GAGACGAACGACTACGAGTCGTCGCGCAGGGAGGGAGCGACAGGGAGTAGAAGGCTTGCTGAGAGGAACCACTGGCCGACAGAGACTACTTTAACTCCGGAGAGGATCCACTTGCCGGCTAGAGAGGTGGATTCACCTAGCAGCCCCTGGAGGCCAAGTACTGGATTCGCTTTAAAAAGAACCCAGTTAGAGGCTGATGCGGGCTTTACATCCCCCTATCAGAGGGGGGCAGTGGCAGGTAGATTAACTTCTAGTGCCCCATGGAGACCAGCTCCCTCCAGCGAAGGTTTAAGCTCTGGCAAGTGGTGGGAAAAGGAGCAGAGCCTGAACCCCAGCCCTTCTTGGAAATCAAGGACAGGAGAAAGCACTGGAGGGTTGAGTAATTGGGGCTGTTACACAAGCCAGAGATGGACAGCTCCCAGCCCCTCAGTAACAGAGAGAAGCAGAGAAGAATTAACCTATAGGCTGCCAAGAGGAGGAGAGAAAGAAGGAGCTTCCAGAAGTACCAAAACGGTCTTGGGGACAAGAGCAGAAAGAGATTTAAGTTTCGGCACCCGTTGGGACGGGACTCAGCAATATGTAGGTCAGAAATATCAAGGCCGGAGTCCTGGAAAAAAGGGCAAAAGTCTAGAATTTTATTTGTCCTGGTTCTTGTGGGTGGCAACTTTAGTGCTACTGGTAATTTTCTTGGGCATCCTTTGGGTCAAGATGATGGGACCTGCTCTTCTGGAAGAGTCCATGGAGAATTGTACGTGTAGTATTTAACCCTCTTGTAAAGATACTTTGTCTCATTTTCTTTTTCAAGTCTCAATTCTATCCTCCTCCTTGCATCATAGTTTCGTTATTCCATTTATGGATATATTGCATTTACAAGTAAAATTGGCTTCAGACCTTTCAAGGCTAATAATGAATATGAGCTTTGATGTTAGGCTTTTTTTTCGCAGAACATTAGCTTAGAATAACCTTCCTATTTATTATACCAATTATTTTAGAGACTTTATGTTATCGTTTTGAGAGCTTAATATGCGTGCTTACCCATATTACTTCAAGTGGACTGCATAGGAAAGCAGAGTTTTAAGTAGCTCTTATTGAATATTTGTTTCAGGATATCAAACCACTACTACAGAAATCTAATAATTACTTCAACAAGGAGAGTCCATGATTATTGAGCATACAGTAAGAACACTTTGTTTTTGCAAAAGTTTTTAGGAAAAAGTGTACCTGCTGAGTACAAATAGTTTTAAACAGTGCCCCTGTTTAAAGAAAAAAAAAGTAGCATTCATTTCCATTTTGCAAAGAATGCAAGATTGGGCCCTGATGTCAATAAAGAATCTATCTGTGGGGAGGCACCCTCCCAGCAGGGAGGAGGAATCAAGCACAAAGCTAGTCTAGAGTCATTGTGCAATCTTAAAAAGGAGCAGAACTGGTCATCCCTGAATTCCTTGGAATTTTATTTCATTTTTTCCCAAGGGACACCTGCCAAATTGGGAAGATCCCTGTATTATAAGCAGAATATAATAAAACAGCTTGAACTTTATGTGTGGGCTTGGCTGTTCACAGCTGACACTGTCTCAGTAATCAACTAATGTGGGTATTAGTACATTTTTGACTAGACAAGCTGTAAGCTTTTGTTAATACAATATGCATATTTTTTACAGTACAGTAGCATAAGTTTCTGTCAAAAAATATGTTTTAAGACATAAAAATTCAAGAATTGAAATTGCATTTTTAATATGGTCCCAGATAACCTAAGTAAGTGACTGTCCTTATTTTGACATGAATACAGAATATGACTTATTTGCTTGCTTAGTATCATTGGTATGTGAATAGTTTCCTTTAAATTAGTGGAATTAGCTGCAGTTTAAGATTTAGTTTCTACACATTCCACAAGGCCTATTCAGTAGAATGGCCATTTTCAAGAAACATGTCAAATTCACACATACTGTTAAAAAATAGGAATAATATCTATTTTGTATATGCTTTGGCAAGTAACTTAATTATTTTCATTCACAGTAAAGCTGTTGACCGTGGATTGTGAAAAAAGCACAGATGTTGTAAGTTAAGAGTCATTGAAATTTAATTCTTAACCATGGTGTGTTAGTCCTTTAATATTAGGGATGAAAGTATAAATAAGCCTGTTCCATTTTCCACATATAATTTAATAATTCATTGATATGGGAATTAAATGATTTTTGTCAGGTTAATATAAAGAAGCATTCAAATGCTATAAATCTGTAATTCTGCAGAGTTAAATCCTTGTTTTTATATAAATATGCTTTAATAATTTATAAAAACTAAGAATTTTGTCAAGGATTTTATCAATTTCTTTTCAAAGCAAGCTAAAATAGAGTTGGCAGTCTTAATATCTGTTGTTTGTGGCTGTAGTTCCAAGTTAGTCCACAGTACATACAGTAGCTGAAAAAGACAAATCCCAATGTAGAATTATATTTAAATTGCTAATTCTGTAGTTTTGTAATATGCCTAAACTATACTTTTTTAAGTTCAATCTTGTACAGTATTTGCACTTTGGATATTATGAAGGGGACCAATAAATACTAAAAGTATTTCCTGTTACCATGCAAAATGATTCAATAATTTAAAAGAGCTATTTACTGTTCTTTTCCTCCTCCTCCTCCTCCTCCTCCTCCTCCTCCTCCTCCTCCTCCTTTTTCAGTACTGTCAGGAAAAACAAGAAGAAATTACAACAACCATATTGTATGAGTTGTACGACTATCTTGCAATTCAAGCTGGTAAGTTCTGATCAGTCAGAGTATGAAAATGATTATTTCTATCAACTGGGATATTTTCAGATTAAATATAAAT